ACTGGAGAACACCTTTGGAATTCACGTCGCCTCCAAACAGCTGCGAAACTTCTTGAATGAAGTCATCCACAGATAGCTACCTGGAGGTCAGTACTCTTGATCTGCAAGACCTCCCACATCGAGCAGCTACGGCAACGTCGCTACGGTCCGGGATATCATCTTCACCCTACAGGGCTGACCAAAAAAAGTCATTCCGCTTGAAGCAAATACTAGTAGAGAATACGGAGCCCAGAGGCAAGACTTGGCCACTAGTACCAGGGCAAGACATAGTAAAGATGTTCCTTGATAAGCAGAAGCAAGCACTCGCACATCACCTTTATGTGCACCAGAAGATGAGGCCATCCGCCATCGCAGCCGAGCTGGAGGAGGCCTATGGAATCCGGATCGAGATCAGACGGCTGCGAAACTTCCTGTACCGAGTCACGCATGGTCAGCTACCTGGAGTCCGGAACCATGGATCTGGAAGACCTCAGACATCGAGCGCCCCCGACAACGTCGCAATGGTCCGGGACATAATCTTCCAGGAGCCGACCATGACAGTGGCGCGCTCGTCGACCGCACCAACATCCCACGCACGTCTGTCCGCCGGATTTTGAAGAACCAAGGCTTCAAATCGGTGTCCAAGGTCGGTTCTTCAAATTCCACTACCCGTCTAATCAACCCTATTTAGGTATGGGTCCACAGCCTCAACGATGTTCAGCGAAAGCAACGTCTCGAGTGCTGCCGGAACCTACTGCCGAAGCTGAAGGAAGATTTCGTGAGGAGGATCGTATTCAGCGATGAGAAGCTCTTCATGGTATCTCCTGCACGAGACAGCAGGAACACCCGCATGTGGACCACCCTCAGAAAGAAGGAGCTCCGTCCCGACGCGCTGCAGTCACCAAGATCGACCAACCGGCGCGGGCTGATGGTATGGGCAGGGATTTCATGGAATGGCAAGACCGACATCCTCTTCGTGGAACCTGGACTGAAGATAGACGCTGACTGCTACATCAAGCAGCTCGAGGAGGATATCCTGCCTTCATGCCGTCGCCTGTACCGTCGCGGAAAACTTTGTACTGCAACAGGATTGGGCGCCAGCACATGGCGCTCGAAGAACTCTCGCCTACTTGGAATCGAAGGGCGTTGAGTACCTGAAGAAGACGGAATATCCAAGTGTGTCACCTGACCTAAACCCCTCGATTACCGGGTTCGGGCGGAGCTCAACAGGGTGGTCTACAGTGGCGGAGAAATCAACGACTCGCTGAACTCAGGCAGCATCACAGACGCGTGGCAGAATCTCTCGATAACGTTCGTACGAAAGGCTGTAGCGGAGTTTCGTGATCGCGTACAATGTGTTGTTGAATTTGGTGGTGGTAATATTCAATCAGAGTTTAATAAAGTGTAACTTATTTATCTTTAAATGTCGAGAAAAAGAATGACTTTTTTGGTCAGCCCTGTAGGGTGAAGATGATATCCCGGACCGTAGCGACGTTGCCGTAGCTGCTCGATGTGGGAGGTCTTGCAGATCAAGAGTACTGACCTCCAGGTAGCTATCTGTGGATGACTTCATTCAAGAAGTTTCGCAGCTGTTTGGAGGCGACGTGAATTCCAAAGGTGTTCTCCAGTCAGGCCGCGACTGGAGATGACTTCATATTTTGGCGTACATGAAGGCGATTGGCGGCAGCCTGCTCCAGCTTATAGAGGAAGATCTTGGGTATCTTCCACTCTGGTACTCATATCCACTTCCCCTGTCTGGGCTGCGAAAACTTCGTTGATATGTGGCTCGGCCGAAATGACTTTTTTGGCCCCCCTGTATACAGAAGGAGCCAAAAAAAGTCTTTTTTTCTTCATTGACTTTCGAGGCGCTATGAATTACACTTTATCAAATTGTGATCGGACGTTTTTACCACTATTGAAGAGCATATCAATTATATAATATTATCATGACACTCCGCCACAGCCTTCTGGACGAGCGCCATCGAGAGATTCTGGCACGCGACCGCGATGTGGTGCCTGAGATCAGCGAGATAGTCGATTTCTCCGCCACCGTAGACCACCCTATTGAACTCCGCCCGAACCGGGTAATTGAGGGGATTCAGGTCAGGTGACCTACTTGGATATTCCATTTAGGTACTCAGCCCCCTTCCATTCCAAGTAGGCGAGTGTTTCTCCAACGCCCTTCGATTTCATGTGGTGGCACTCAATGCTGTAGCAGTACAAAGTTTCCAAGAAGGTACGGGCGACCACATGTGAGGAGGATATTTCTTCACGAGTTGCCCAATGTAACCGCCAGCGCTCACCTTCAGTCCGGGGTCCACGAAGAAAATATTGGTCTTCCCATATCAGGTACAGTCGTGATCCCTCAGACTGGCCATCCGTAATTGCGTACTTCACTGGGACGCGACGGCGGCTGCAGTAGGAGTGGCGATCGATGCTGCATGATCACCTGATTTCAGCGATTAATTTTTCTATTTTGCCTGTTATTCTGCTAACTAGAAGGAAAAGTGAGTTCATATTATTTACTCTAATTTGAGGTTTTATTGTATATTTTGCTTTCAGTCGCTATTTGACTGCAGTGACGGTGTTTTTACCCACTTTTTGATTTTGTTTAGGTTTTTTTTGTTTGTGCTTTGAATGTTGGACTGTTCTCCATGGCAGTGTCGTTATGTGTCCTCATTAGTACAAAAAAAACCTAAACAAAATCAAAAAGTGGGTAAAACACCGTCACTGCGACTGAAAGCAGCGAAATAGCGACTGCAATAAAACCTCAAATTAGAGTAAATAATATGAACTCACTTTTCCTTCTAGTTAGCAGAATAACAGGCAAAATAGAAAAATTAATCGCTGAAATCAGGTGATCATGCAGCATCGATCGCCACTCCTACTGCAGCCGCCGTCGCGTCCCAGTGAAGTACGCAATTACGGATGGCCAGTCTGAGGGATCACGACTGTACGTCCGGTCCATACCATCAACCCGCGCCTTGGCGACTGCGGTGAAGATGATGTCCTAGACCGTAGCGACGTTGTCGGAGCTGCTCGATGTTGGAGGTCTTCCAGATTGAGAGTACTGGTCTCCAGGTAGCTACCCATGGGTGACTCCACACTAGAAGTTTCGCAGCTGTTTGGAGGTGACATGAATTCCAAAGGTCTTCTCCAGTCAGGCTGCGACTGGAGATGACTTCATATTTTGGTGTACATGAAGGTGATGGGCGAGAGCCAGCTCCTGCTTATAGAGGAACATCTTGGGTATCTTCCGCCCTGGTACTTTCTACTTGCGCTTTACGATCCTAGGACCACCTATAAGAGAGTTGATCTGTCTGACCAGTGAAGTAGCCTTAGCTGTATACAGATGGATATAGTTGATAATGTCGCAATCATTTGGGGCGGTAGCAGTAGGAACGAACGAGTCCTCTTCCGGCTGCATTCTCTACCAATAGCGATCGGTTAGTAATCGATTCAGGAGGAAAAACAACCAGTGTTGGAAACATTACGGGCGGGCCCATTCGGGACTACTCATGGGACCGCCCCGACTGACTTCGACGTTATCGATTGTTCTATAGTCAGAATCGATGGTTCTTTGAACTTTATAGTGTTTAATCTTGCTGTAGTGAGTAGAACGGCGAAGCTCGTCTTTTCAGTGAATCTTTATTCTATATTTTGTTCTATAGTCGTCATACGGACAGACGGTCAACTGATGAGGCGGTCAAAGGGTCGCAGACGCGGCTGCGGCGCGTCACGACCGCGGCGATCAGCTGTTTCCAGCCTGGTTTAGCCATTTTCTCCCTAATTTTCACTGTATTTTCTATTTTTTTTTCAAGGTAAGTTGTGTTATTGTCTTTATGAAGTATATTAGGACGTGGATTCTTTTTTTGAGTGAAGTGTTTTGTGATTTTTTAGGCATTTGTTTAGTTGTTTGTTTGATTGTTTGATTGTTCGTAAAAATTAGTAAAAATTAGAGAAATCTCAATCATAATTTACCTTGTGAAGACAAAGAACAACTAACCTCAAGAAAAGCAGCCAAAAACAGTGAAAAGTAGGGAGAAAATGACTAAACCAGGCCGGAAACAGCTGATCGCCGCCAACAGTTCCTACGTACGCGGTCGCTGCTGCAGCCGCGTCTGCGACCCTTCTCCGACCGCCTAACCAGTTGGCCGGATGACGACTGTATCTCGGTAACTTGCCTATTCGTTCTACCGAGAACTGTTAGTGATGCACAATTGTTTCCCCAAGTGGTATTGTATAAGAGCCATTCTAATCAACGGACATCTGTCAAAGGTGCCTTATCGTTTCCGAATCGTTCATGGACGTGACATGGTTCCACGATATCCGAGAAAATTCGATGGCGAATGGACTCCACCTCATCATCATCGTTACGAGGTGATTGCATAATACATTATTCTTTATGAGGATGACTTCATAAAAAAATGCAGGTGTGGTACCCGAATGGAATGGGCGTTGGAGCGAAGTACTTCGTATGTCTTGGAGCAGAAGATCCACAGTGTAGTACTAGACTTTCACCCTGGGAAATACGCGCTGCTGATAACGATATATATTTTGGAAGGAGCATGCAGAACTGGTTTGTTCATATTTTTGTAAGAGTAATTTCACGGTATATGGAACATCGAGTGTGGGGTTGAGAAATACAAACTCACAGGGCAGTTGCAACGCAGCTACAAAAGCGGTGTGCAGAGCTACGCCATATGCGCTACATTCGCGCCACGGTCCAATCGGCCTCTAACTAGTGTTCTACAATCAGCCACCAAGAAAGTGCCTACGTAGGCATCATAACCTCCACTCAAACGAGGGCGCCCTTAGCTAGCGCAGAAGGTTCACGGTGATCGTTGGGCAGAACCCAGGACGCACCAGTTACCCCAAACACATGATGTCATTGCTATCTATTGAGAAATCTTTTAGTAGTTGGTGGTCACATATAGTACAGTACTACTGGCAGTAGATATCGGTTTTTGGAAGTGTAAATGTAAAAATATTTGTGCTGTTTCTCATTGTACTAGGTGTGCGGAAACGTTCATCGACAAAAAAAAATTCAAAATACAGATTCCTGCAAATGATAGGGCGTGTGAAGGGGCGTGAGTTGGAGCGCAGCCGGGACAGCTTTTTCCGCCACTTGTTGCAGACTCAGGATCTCTTCAGTGGTGGAAAAGACTGCTTTGGCAGTGCTACAATCCGCGCCCGTCACACGGCCCATCCTTTGGGGGGATTTCGACCGTAAATGTGTTTGTATTTCAGGGCGGCATCATTTTGCGATGACAGCATAATGTATGACAAGCCGCGTATGGCTAATTTTGCCAATCTTCGAGAACCCGTTTATGATATGTCGTCCATTCGGACTACATATCCAACTATGGCGACTATACCTACGACTAGTGTTCATCCATTCTTGATGAAGTCTCGTTTGGTAACCATTGGGAATCTAATGACACCTCCATATGAAGGAACAAAGAAAATGACACTTACGACTGAACCGATTCGAACTACGACACCAATGTGGCTTAAAACGACGACGATCTCTTCGACTCAATCAACAATTCATTCCAAAATTTTCTCAACCACTTCAGCAATCGCTTCAACAACTCGCACAGTTAGCCAAACAGCTCCACCTACGACAAGTACAGCTGCTCCAACAACCCGTACAGTGAACCACACAGCTCCTACTACGACGACAACAAGTCCTTCATCAACTCGCACAGTGAGCTATACCGTTCCTCGTACGACGAGTGCAACCCCTCCAACAACTCGTACAGTGATTCATACCTCTCCTCCTACGACGAGTACAACTCCTTCAACTACTCGCACAGCGAGCTACACAACCAGCCATACGACGAGTTCATCTCCTCCAACAACTCGCACAGTGAATTTCGTAACGTCTCCTACGATGAGTACGACTCCTACGATAACTCGCGCTGCCAACAAATCGACTGAATCACCACATGAGAGGCCGTCAAATGTTACTTCAATGGATACGTCTTCCAGGGGGAGGATAAGGTTAGTTTCATCCATAGAACGGAGTGATAATTCCTTTTTCACAGTTTCGGTCGCATTTTTGTAAAATGTGAGAAATTTGGAGTTCACTGTTAGATAGAACCGCGAAATTCCATAAGGCTGTCCCAAAACCTATATCCCTCAGTCTACTCTGACGTAAAAGATCTATGCCGGGTGGAGCGCCCACGGACATGGGCTGAATCCCTTTGACCGCGTGGAATTTCAATTTTTTTCTGTTCTCTCTTGTAAACATGGGCCTTCTGTGACCACTGTGGCCTCACACATTCCACGTTTTCACTCACATACGATAAGAGGCTCGAGCACTTCGGGGTTCCTTCCTCTTAGAAAGAGGCTCTCCCCCCTGGCTCACAACATGATCTTTTGCAACATTGAACGTATGTACAGTCCTCATCATTGCGGACTGTCGGAGGCGGCGTGAGCAGCGCGGTTCGAGTCCGCGTTCAGCTCCCTTGCTCTACATCACGTAGAGATCGATTTAGGGAGGAAACAACCAATGATGGAAACGCCGCTGATGAGAACCGCTGATTGCGACCCGACGATTGCGGTGATATTAAGTGTAGAGCGATCAGATATGGTGGGTAAAGGGACGGCTAGAAATGGGAATGCCAAGGGCCAATAAAGGGGAGCGTAGCAATCCTCCCGGTCAACTTAAGTCAATAATAATGAGAAAGCAAGAAGAGTATCGAAAATGCTCGAAATAATATCCCCTCTAATACGACTTTTACGGCATGACAGCGAAGAAAGGTGTGATAGATCATATCGCTGAACAAACTGGACGTGGTCGACTTCGTCGCCTCAGTTGATCCCAGCTGACTTCCTGTTGACACCAAAGTCCGTGCTTACGTCACTTTACGGGCTCCGTGGTATAATAGCAGGGTAGAGTGATGGGTGGATGGAGCCAATGAAAGCCGGCCTAGCCAAGGAGTTGAAGTATACTTCTTACAATTAGTTCGCGCCTCAGGGAAATTTCTATTTCTGATAGTTATATGGAAAAGACCTCACTGTTTGCAAAATTTCAAGGGAATTCGTTAAGATTTCATTAGGATGGGTTAGATGGTAGACCGCTTGTGACAGGGTGTCGTAGTGGAGGAGACCACCTTGGGGGTGTTTTACAAACACCACCGTTCCATCCACCCATTGCAGTGTACCCTGGGCGTAGGGGCCACCTCGTGTTCTGTTTGAGGATCACCTATCTGACCCATTCCTCCCCCCCCGCACCACCCCACCGTACTTAGTCCCTTCTAGGTTGGTCAAATAGTGCTATGTAGACTTGTTTGGGATGAAATGAGACTTACTCAGGTAATGCTTGTACCTATGCCTCTCTTCATAAAAAAGTCGCATTAAAACATATACAGGTAGGACTTCGAGAAGAAGTAAAATGCGGTTCGCATACCACAGGAGTACTGATCAATATTTAACAATTCGCCATTTCCACTTTTATTAAACGGAATTTAACCTTTTCAGCAATATGACAACTAACCTTGCAACGAACGAAACGGGCTTATTATTGGAAAAGCTGGATTTACAAGACCTAGAAAGTTTGCTGTAGGTGCAGTCGATATTCTCAAGGGAGCTGGATTGAATAATCCGTTAAAAAACAGTAACCTCATTCTATTTGTGCTATAAATAATAGAATTTATTGATGTTTGTATCATACTTGTATCGTCGACGTAATAAATTACAAACGCTACTGCCGCATTGATGTCATGGAGTTCCTCTGTGGTTTTGTCGTGTATAGTTTTATTTTGTAATTTTTACCTGTATCATATTGATCGAAAAAAAATAAAAATTAACAGTTACTCTACGACACAACCTGCAGCAGTGGGTCTGCTGAAGGGGCGATAAAATTATTATTCATACTTGGGGCCTATACGGACATTAGTCCTTATCTCAGCTGCGAACATCACACAGTCTTATTCGCTGCGGATGCTGCGACGTGTCAGGTAGGCTCAGTATGGCGCGGCGTGAGCCAGTTCTCATAAGCTACTTCATATTTTGCGGCAGCGTCCAGCAGCGTCTACCAGTATCCACCAGCGTTCACCAGCGACCGGGAGAAGAGTGTATAAGGAGGAAGGAGGGTAGCGAACAGTCGCCAGTTGCAGTGTGAGCAACCACACCCCACCGCTGCTAAAGCACAGAATTGTGTAAAACAATGTACGGTGTAGTGCAGTTGTACGGTGCGGTTGCAAACACCTCAATTTCAAGACGGCTGTTCCAGCTGTTTACTACCCTCTTGCTTCCCCATACTCTACTCCCGCTCGCTGGTGAAGCGTGGTGGACGCCAGTAGGCGCCAAATCGATATCTATGCTTTCCTAGTCGCTGACGCTGCCGGAACGAGTGGTAGCTAGTGGACGCTGGTAGACGCTGCTGGACGCTGCCGCAAAGTATGAGCGCAGCCATAAATTCTTGAGGCGAGGCAAGCGACAACAATTGGGTTTGCCCTCCGCCACTCCCCCCCCCCCTCTCCTCCCCTCACACGCCTCTGCAACTGCAGTGGAAACGGTAACACTTGTATCACACCTGAAACCGCGTGGATAACATTTCAATAGTACTTTATTATTATTTTTCGTTTAAAATACAGAGCAAATACCGAGTTTTACAGCATCATCGCAAATTGAACACAGAAATTGAACAGCGCTTTATTTTTACACAAGGCTCCCATCTGACGGAGAAGTACTGAAGCGTGGATCGGTGTTCCGGAGCCGATAGGCGTCAGCAGATTGTATAAATGCCAGTCGATTTGATCCACTGAGTGACACTGTTCGTGGCAATGAGATTTCACTCACAGAACTGAAAATATGGTACTTCTTGCTATACTTGCTATGCTATACTTTTATTAGAACTTTTCATGATATACATGATCCGGGCGCTTGATTGGGTGGCCAAGAGTCGCGACGCGGCTGCGGCGCACCACGACCGCGGCGACCAACTGTCTCCAGCCTGAATTGGCCATTTTCTCTCTATTTTCTCCATTTTTCACTGCGTTTTTTATTTTTTTCGATGTCAGTCGTTTATTTTCTTTATGAAGTACATGACAACGTGAAGCTTTTTTTTGCAAAAGAGTGTTTCTGCGATATTTTTCAGGTATTTGTTCAATTGTCTGCTTAACTGTTCAATTGTGCGCAAAAATCAGAGGAATCTCAATCATAATTTACCTTGTGAAGACAAGGAACAATAATCGTGAGAAAAGCAGCCAAAACAGTGTAAATTAGGGAGAATGGCTAAAATAGGCTGGAAACAGCTGATCGCCGCGCTCGTGACACGTTGCAGCAGCGTCGCAACCCTTGCCGAATAATAAAGTGCCCGGATGACGACTGTACAGTGACGAGGAGAAAAGGGGCGTGCTCGTGACGCTTGCCTTCTTCCGTAAGGATCTCCTCTCTCATACATACTTACAACTCTGAAGTAAGAATAAAGGCCCTGATAGTTAGACAAGCGAATGGTTGGAGTGTCCGTCTACTTTTTTTTGACCGCCTGCCCCAGGCGCGCTAATACCGTGAGTAGAACTCCACCCCCCCCCCCCCTGCCTGCCTCCCTATCCCTAAGACATTACCGTCGCAGCCAGAGCTGCGCTGCCACTCCTCCTTTTTTGCCCTCAGTTATAAATTGTAGCACTGATAAACATCCACAGTCTACCGTAATTTAGTTAGCTAACTAACTAATTATGAAAACTCACTATCTCCTCCGGCCCGTCGTTCCCGAATGGGGTGGGCTTACGCTATCGTCGGAACTCTCTTCCTGTGTAATTTCTTTGAGTTCTTGAATGGAACTGATATTAGGAATGTCACTTTTCACATCGTCCAGATTTGCAGGCGGACTATCATCTGAGGATCTGAATTGTCTACGAATCATCTTTCTTTTCACAATAGACTGGTAACTCAATAACGTTTGGAAAAATACCAGCAACGCAGGAAATCTGCGAGACGCTGCCGGCCCGCAGATTAGGTGGAGATTTACCCAAACTTTTACCGGAGTACAGGGCAATATGAATGAAATGCTGCGCTATGAAATGATCCCAGTAACATTTGGTATGCTATCGCAAGACGGAGCGGTTGCACACGGTCAGGGTCCTTTCTGTAACCTGAGAGAAAGATAAGATCAGCTACTAACGCATCGAACAGTCCATCCGGCTCAATTCTAGGGTAGCTTTTGGATATGAGAACTCGCCCAGCCACAACAAATTCATTTCCTTAACGGTCATCGTATCCGGTAATAAGCAAAATGACCTAGACTAAGCTACTCCTTCCCCCCCCCCCTAAGCCTGGAGGATCCTAATTCCTCTGGATTATTAACATACACACAACATAATGCTGCTCAACATTATACAAATTCAGAAAGAGGCGTTAAAATGGATATCGTATCGAGACCGAAGCTCGTGCCACGCTCCTCATTAGTGAAGCTAGCGCCAGATCAACGACCCCGTTTCTCATGGAGGTACGACATGGTCAGTGAACAAAGGGAGTTCACATGGACGTTCGAACGTTCTCTGCTCACCCCCTCCGTGATAATGACTACAGGCTAGATGAACCAATCGGAAGAAGTATAATAAAAGCGGAAATGTGAAACGTACAGGTAAAATAGAGGGGGGAAAAATAGTGAAAATGTGTTTAATTGTGTAAAATAGAGACAAGGGTGAGACATGGCAGTTGTAGCTACATGCACAGGGGGGCCAAAAAAAGTCACTTTGCTTCATTGACTTTCGAGGCGCTATAAGTTACACTTTATAAATTCTGATCGGACATTTCTACCACCATATTAAAGAGCATATTAAATACTATTATGACACTCCGCCACAGCCTTCTGGAGGAGCGCCATCGAGAGATTCTGGCACGCAACCGCGATGTGGTCCCTGAGATCAGCGAGATAGTCGATTTCTCCGCCACCGTAGACCACCCTATTGAACTCCGCCCGAACCGGGTAATTGAGGGGATTCAGGTCAGGTGACCTACTTGGATATTCCATCTTCTTTAGGTACTCAGCCCCCTTCCATTCCAAGTAGGCGAGAGTTTCTCCAACGCCCTTCGATTCCACGTGGTGGCACCCAATGCTGTAGCAGTACAAAGTTTCCAAGAAGGTACGGGCGACGACATGTGGGGAGGATATTCTTCTCGAGTTGCTCGATGTAACCGCCAGCGCTCACCTTCAGTCCGGGGTCCACGAAGAAAATATCGGTCTTTCCATTCCAGGTACGTCCGGTCCATACCATCAACCCGCGCCTTGGCGACTGTGGTGAAGATGATGTCCTAGACCGTAGCGACGTTGTCGGAGCTGCTCGATGTTGGAGGTCTTCCAGATTGAGAGTACTGGTCTCCAGGTAGCTACCCATGGGTGACTCCACACTAGAAGTTTCGCAGCTGTTTGGAGGTGACATGAATTCCAAAGGTCTTCTCCAGTCAGGCTGCGACTGGAGATGACTTCATATTTTGGTGTACATGAAGGTGATGGGCGAGGGCCAGCTCCTGCTTATCGAGGAACATCTTGGGTATCTTCCGCCCTGGTACTCGTATCCACGTCTTCTGTCTGGGCTGCGAAAACTTTGCTGATATGTGACTCGGTCGAAGTGACTTTTTTTGCCCCCCCCCCCTGTATTCGTTTACATACACACTGTGAGAAAGCAGGGAAACATAGGTATGCAGTGAAACCCCAAAAGTCCCGAGAAAGGAATAGCACAGTAAACTGAGGGCAGTGGGCACAATAATGTGGGTAGCGTACAGTATATACATATATGCTCATGATTAGCTGAATCTAATGCCCAGGCCCATGAGCAGGTTCTCTAAGGCGCGCTCAAAGGGACTTAGCAAGACCTGGTCATCTCTCGCCTGGTACGCTATAAGTAGCATGCCAGCAGATTTCTTCCACGGAGTGTGCAGGGACATCTCTACATGTAGCCTGCCTTCAGCTTACAACGGCTACAGTGCTTTATTCATTTACTGTGAAGTCACAGTAGGACAGCCTCTGAGACTGAGAACAGAACCCTATGGAATTGTTGAGCGCGTGGTCTGTTTTTGAGGTCTGAATAAAGGGCCAAAGTGAATGTCCTAAGATATATGAAAACCACAAATAAATGCAAAAAGGACAGCATGCATTTAGAAAAGACCAAGAGCAATTGTGTTAAAGAAAAGACTCCGAGGAACAAGCAGTCCTGTTCGCTGCGGATAACGAGGCGCGTCAAGGGACGGGATTGGATCAGCGTCAGTCCGTTTTGTAGATGGTGAGCTTATCTCTGTTGCTGATATCATCAACTGCTGAGGTTCATCAGTAGGTTGATATTGACGAAATAAGGACCCCAGGAACGTGAAATCGAATAGCTAATTCTTCAGAAAAGTAAAGTTCAGAAAAATGATAAGTGAAAAACTTACATAAATGTTGGCTTCTCTTTTTTGCTTGGATATATTTCACCTAGCATTTCACGAAGTTCGTATTTCTGCCATAATAGAGCGAATAATAGCATGAGAGAAGCGAGAGCGATAATAACTGATATTACCATAATGACATAAACCCAACTGAAATGGAAAAAAAATCCGGCTACTTGGATACAACATTTAATATTTAAACACATCTTTGCTCTGCAAAAGGAGTTTAGTGAACTGCTGCCAGCGCTGAGCTTCGTTATACTCAGGCATAAAAGAACCAGGTCATGACGGTACAGTTGCTTGACTGGAGCAACTGAACCATCAGAGTGCTGGTGCGAATGCCGCGCACATGCCACGTCTCTTTTGCCGCATTCGCCACAACGTGACCTTCTTGTATTACACCATTTCATAAAATGCAAGGTAGCCTTCTGCTGAGCAAATTCTGCCCCGCACTTTGTTGTGGATGTAGGTATTTTCTGGGAGCGTATTTGTGCCCTTCAGCTGTCCCCAATATGACTAACTTTGCTCATGTCAGATAAGGGACCCATCTTGACTTGAAGGCGTAGCCGAGATATTTTGAGTAATAGGGCTCACATAGGATGAAAAACACCAGGCAATTCGTGGAGAAAAAAATAAAAAAAATTTATCACCATTGTTCTGAACCCCCCCCCCCCCCAACGAGCGCATTTCTACGAGCAGAGGGTAGCAAAAGATGTAACTGGACGGGGCTAATGCCGTTTGGACTCCAGAAATTTCGTCTTCGAGCTCATTTTAAAAGTGGCAAGATCACCAAATCCGCTAAAAACTTGTATATAGGGGTAATTCAACATCCTGATCACGAATATGACATTCATTTTTGGCGCTGGCGCTAATGGATGACACTACGGTTACCTGCGCTCTGCTAAGGCTGAGCCCAGGAGGTAATCGTAGTGTCCTCTCTTGGCGCCAGCGCCAAGAATGAGTGTCATACTCGTAATCAGGATGTTGAATTACCCCAAGTTTTTAGTGGATTTGGTGACTTAGGCAATTTGAAAATGAGCTCGAAGACGAAATTGAGTCCAAACGGCATTAGCCATTGGACGGTGGTGTTGCGATTAATGTGGTCACTACAACTGAACCCGGCTGATTTTTTATTGATAATAATCTTCCTGCCTACGTTCCCTGGTAAGCTTTCCGTTGATCGAGGGACGACGGCACAGATGCCCTAAACGCTCGCTTTTGCCTAATCGCGCCTTTCATCGCGGAGCGCGGCGATATGTCACACGTTAGCATTGCTGAATGTACCGAGCCGATGAGGCAACTTACATTGGTGCGGATGAATTTTGTCCCAAGGAAGTAGTAGTGTTTTCAGCGGACATTTCTGTGTCGAAATCCATAGTAGCGTTCTTCGTATTAGTTTCAGTTGATGAGTCCTGAAAATGTGAAGTAGTTCTTTAAAATGTGAATGTTTGCACTTATTTGTGGTTTTCAAAGACGCACGGGTCACCACCTAGCCGGTATCGATAACTATACATCAACATCAAAGAGAGTGGGCACGATTGCTGAAACAGAGCGGATGTTGTCATTGTTATTGTCGAGGATGGCCTCACCCCCACAATGGGTTGCGCAGCAATTCCACCAATGACGGTGGCAACAACCGCCCGCCTCCAGCAATCGTGCCTACTGCCCTTAATGTATAACTAAACAGATAAAATGGTTGGGAAACTAGAATATTACGAAGGTGCTCAGCAGCGATTTTAGCTGAAGACCTTTCAGATTTTAGAGCTTTTTTTGTTCTTCAGATGAGCTGAGCAAATTTTTTGCAAAACATCAATAATAAGTAGTCCTTGGTACAGGTCGCGGAGATGAGCGGGGCGATGGGCGTTCCAGAAAGGAATTTAGAATTACGTTGGTCTCCGTTACCTGCTCTGGTTGCGAAGCGCTCCGAATATTGTTATACGTGAAGAAAAAATGGTAAGGTTGAAGGACTAACCTTGAACGGATCAACTAGAATGTTGCCAATTTCTGCGACGATTTTATTCAGTCCTTCCATATAATTCCTTTCAAGGAACATATTCTTGTACTGGCTCAGTGATGTATCCATACGCTCTTTCGGAAAGGCCAGATCAGAACCTGTCTAAATTTGATTTTCATGAAAGGTATACATTCAGCACATTGCAAAAACAGTCTAATTTAGGCAAAATGGCCACTTAATGCTCAGAATTGAACTTACCCAAACATAGAGCTCCTTTGCCAATTCAACGCCAAGGATGAGAATATAATTCCTACATGGTTGAGCATCAAGACCGTAGGCTTCTCGTAGACCATGGCCGAAAGCGGTCTAAAAACATAACGTGATAGAGACGTGTACTGTCATGAGCCTGCAAACGATAGGGCGTTGACTGAAGCACCGCCAAGGCGGCCTCTCGATCAATCATGCCATCCCGAGTCTGTAACGAAGGGCGGAAGGGGCTGTTCCGGCTGCGATCCAACTCACTCCTTCTCACGCCCTAACGTTTGCAGTGGTCGTATACTCGAACCTGAGATCGGGTAGGCGTGGCTGCGTACTTGATTTTAAAATGGCGGCGGCCCAGGTTTTCGTGAGATATTGTCATTTTGGAGCAGTCGTAATCATGTCTACATCTAACACAGAACAAGATAGCAGTTGTTTCAAATTGAAGTATCCCCGAGAAACCCGTCCTATGCCATGCTCAAAAGCCACGCCTACTTCGTCTCAGGGATAAGGAGTATATGTATATGCAATCATCAGGGGCTTCATCTCTGAATGCTCGTTAGCAATTGTAGCACGCTTAGGGAATATTATCGCTTCTTAGGCATTTTTTGATGAACACGACCCCCCGTCTCTCGATACGACCCAAGTTTAACAGCCTACATACTTTACCAATTTATTTACAGAATTTTCCGAAAATTTCCCGGTCGATCAGAACGGGAACAAGGAAAGAGAGGAAATAGCGTGAGTGAGACGGGGAAAACCAATAATCCCTACAACTCGAAATGTTTCTTTCGAAAACAACTACCATCCTTTTTCTCGGCAGCCAAATGCGACCCCATCCGCTGTGATTTCCGTAATGTGGTCTGAGGCAGGACAACCAGCTGTAATCAGGGACAAGCAAATGTGGGAACGGGTCCTTTTTCCCCTCTTATTGCACTGTAAAGTTCGAACTAGTCGCACGGACCCTCCCGCCTTTCCCTTCTTTTGCTTGGAAGGGGGCCGTAACAACAATGCTGTGGTTTGCCCTACTGCCTACCTGAATTACCCTGACCATACAACCAGTAGAACAATCTACACATAGAACCCCTGAACTGAATTTAAATAACTCTACCAAATCCTTGCTAGTGATGTTTTGATTTGATGTGGTGTTGATTCTTCTTGCCAAAATCACAAATATTCGCACATCAGACACATTGTTCGCACAACAATTCCCTGAGGCTTCCGCCGTGTATTGAACATCAACGTTTTGTAGCCCTGAAAATGACTACTGGTGTCACTACTCGAAAACAACTTCATCATCATCATCAATCAAATCTGTTTCGCTGAACACAACAACCGATTCATTTCAGATCGGCGAACAATGAAGCTCAACTAATTTTTTAGAGAAGAAATGAAGATGAGTCTGCAATATTAGGCTGGAAATGAAGTCCTATCTGTATTTTTTTAATAACTTACTGCTTTTGATTCTTGACGCTCGAACATGACGTAACATGTTTTCCCTGTAGAACACGCTCAAGCTTTCCAGCAAGAGGGATATGAAGGCGTCTGTTCTCACCTGGGTTTGAAGTGTGATGTCAGTCTCACATAAGCAGTCTCCAGTTATCATCTTCTGTGAGTGCTGGCGCGGCAACGGAGCGACAGCAGCAGTCCGCAACATCAAAAGTGCATTGGGGGAGGACACCACTACCATCAGGACTGTTCACCTTTGGTTCGCTCGCTTCGCGAAAGGAGACACGATCCTTGAAGACAAACCTCGGTCGGGACGCCTCCACGAAGTGGAAGACTCCACCGTTCTCGAAGCTGTCAAGGAGGATCCGGAGGCTACCACCCGCAGTCTTGCGACAAGACTCGGATGTACCTCAATGAAAATCGTTCATCGCCTGCAAGCCCACTGCAGTCTTTGGATCCTTCAGACCTTGACAGATAGCACGCAATACACTAGGGTACTCATTTGTAAGTCTCCCCCTCTCCGTCCTCGTCAAAGGAAGTTTCTGTGAGAGTGGTGAGTGGATATGGGAGATGATCCTCTCTGATTCCAACTCATACAGTACCGTGTGACTGCCTTGAGGAGAAGACTCATCTTAGCAGGCCAATGGGCGTGTACTCCATGACGGTTCTCCTACGGTGCTCCCGGGAAGCGAGGGGAATGCAGCACGAGTTGCCCTGGAAAGGAGACTTGGTTAACGCTATCGTGTGTGCCGCTCAGCTCCAAGAACTCGTGGAAACTGCTTGAGAAAAGTGACCGGGACTAACTTAGGGGACCTCGTTCGTAATGACCCAGACCCCATACTGCTATGGAGACCTATCAAATAATGTGGAGCAAGGATGGGAGACCATTTCCCGCTCGCTATAGTCTCCTTGCATACCTGTTCCACCCCTTGAGACTTTCCTAGCTTTGAAGACTGTTAGCAATTTGATGACACGAGAGGGGTCGCTGACCTGCCCATTAGATGGAGCACAGTAGTGACTGACAATGGCGCATGTATTGTTGATTAATCTCTACTCTATGTTGAACTAGAAAATAAAAACGAAAAGAATCGCGACAGTGAAAAGGCTTTCTTCCCAGCATAATAGCTTCATTACGTTTCACATGTGAGTTTTAGCTACTTGGAGCGCTATGGCGGATCACCACTTCGCCGCGTTTTCGCTGCGACGACGAGTAGGACTAGTGCGTCCTTCTTTCGCTGGAGCCAGTTAAATAGGAGATTAAAAGAAGCAACTCCGCAAGAGAAAACCTGTAGTGTCACGAAACAATGTTGAAACCGTTTCGTTATTGGAAATTGAAGACTTTCTTACGGGCTGTCTGCTTAGCAATGTTGTCATTTATAGTCTGACGCCAGGTATCAGTGAGAATCCGGTCTGGATCACATAATGTAGAATCTTCAACGGTATTGCACTGCGATGCATTGGTACGAGGATCGGGATACGATGTTGGCTCCCATTGCTGAATAGAAAGGCTATTAGTGGAATAGTATCATAGAGAGGCACACTATTAATGTGAAAATATTTTGCATCTCGGGGTGTAAGACAGTTCCCCCTATCAAGTGGTCCGCGAAATGCTTCCGTACATTTGGCATCGTGGTCTGAATTCGCCAAGAATGTATTACTTGCGCCGTCGAAACGACAAGATAAAGAAGCTAGAGACGCGTGATTATTGCAACCATTGCAACCACGATTACTTTCACTCTGCAAGACAACGGCTTACAAGCGGAATTGCGTGTGTACATAGCGTTGCCTGGAGCGTCGTAGGGATTTCCTGTGCTCTGCCGGGAATCGGTTGCACGTCGAATCCTGCTGACTGGGCTTGCCGACGTTCGACAAACTCGTTAGGCGGATCCCACTGCTAAGGCTGCGTTTATACTTTGCGGCAGCGTAGCGTAGCGCTTCCAGCGTACGCCAGCGGCAGTGCCGGGGAGAGGATGCATATCGATCTAGCGTTCCCAGCGTCACCAGCGTCGTACGCTAGCGCATGCTGCCGTAGGGAGTAAACGCTGGAGAAACGCTGGTGAAGCTAGATCGATAGCTATGCTTCCCGTGCCCTCGCTACGCCAGCGTGCGCTAGCGTGCCGCTAGCGTACGCTGGTGACGCTGGGAACGCTAGATCGATATGCATCCTCTCCCCGGCACTGCCGCTGGCGTACGCTGGAAGCGCTACGCTACGCTGCCGCAAAGTATAAACGCAGCCTAAGGAGGTTTTTTGCATCTTCCTTAACTATGGAGTTGCTTGTGGGCTACCGGTTCATGACTGAGCCCCACCTACCCGTAGCAGCGTTTGATCGCGGTAATTGTCTTCAACACCAACATTGGACTTATAAATGCTTTTCGAGGCCGCGAGAACGGTTGAGGTAGAACTTGTGCTTTCCGTGCACCTCTGACCCTACTCAAATCCTGAAGGGAAAATCCAGCTGATGTACAGAGAAATCAAATGCCTCTCCTTTCTAGGACGAATTTTTGGTATGAAATCGGACGTAAAAATCGTAAATGTTACGAATTCCCCAGATTGTACAGTAATCTGAAACCGAGGAAAACAGCATCTGATGAGGTGAGCTTTTGCACCAACAGAGGCATTACGACCCCAACAACAATTAAGACCCCATGCCTCTGTTTCTACTGAACTTTCTACCACAGCATTGCAGGTCCTCAATGGTCAATGTAGTTGATTAGAACTGGACCCAAATCGGCTAGATCCTTATTCTCTCGATATCGTTGTGACACTTACCTCAGTATCGGCTCGTAGAACTGTTCCTGATGCTATGATAAGAGAAAGCAGTGAGAGCATAACAGCATCGATAGTATTCGCCAAAGGGTATCGTGATGTTGAGTCTGGAACTCTTATGAAAATGGAAATTCTGAGGTATTTCCGTAAATACTCGTATATGGTTGCAATTTCCTACAAGGAAATGTGCGTGAAATTATAACTGGACCACGAAAACTTGAAAAAGTGCTCATCATTGGCCGCCTGAATAATTACCTCCCATCCAAGAATAGTAAGCCACAACGAAACTGGGTTCCATTTTGACTAATTAATTATTTCTTAGCCAGCAGCTAACCACGGAAGTCCACCAACTTACCATGGAACTTTGAATGGAGACCTGGGTAGATCGATAGAGTCTATAAGGTTATTTACAAATATAGATAGCAAAACTGCAACCTGCATTTCACAAGCAACTTATGAGCAGGTAAAGTTTGTAATGGTGCAGTAGGGTGGAGGCTTGGTGGTGAGCTGTGAAGCATAAGCGAGGAATCGCATACGTCAACGAGTCGTGGTGGTTCAGTGGTAAAGTTTGACGACTCGACCAAGCCTCCCACCCTACTGCACCATTACAAACTTTACCGGCTCATAAGTTGCTTGTGAAATGCAGGTTGCAGTTTTGCTATCTATATTTGTAAATAACCTCACAGGACTTTAAATGACCTTATAGACACGATCGATCTACCTTCAACGTTCCACGGTAAGTTGGCGGACTTCCCTGGTTAGGGCGAGGGATATGTTTAGCCAAAATTATGAATTATAAATTTTGCGACGCGATGGTGCTCTCTGATCGCAATCGATGCGCCCCAAATAAGCCCTTCTTTCTTTCCCTTCGTAATTTATAGCGGAAGTTTAAATTACCGACTCTTTTTCAGAGTTTTTCTCTTCAATAACCACTTGAAATAAATTCGCCCCTTGAAGAAGGCCTGCACCCGAAGGCTCGCCAAATAAGATTGGACGAGAAGAAGATCCTCACTTTTTTTTCTCAGGGGTGGTCGCGTGGCGCGATCACACGGACTTGCCAAGAAGGTCATGCAACAATCCTGCCCAGCGGAATAACTCGTCCGGTACTGGGGGTTCGTGTTTCCTAACCAGGGCGCCTTCTGAAGACTATTTAGGAAAACACAGTGGGTGAAGGGTCATTACGAGCTGTTCTGCCTGGGTAACGCGTCCAATCACGTGTTCTGACACGGACTCCATACATACACGTCTAAAGCGCATCTACGCCTGTACACAATATTCGAAGCAACAGATCAATAAATAAATATAAATAAATAAATAAATAAGTAAATGTTGAAAGGAACAAGGTTTCAACAATGACGCTCATAAACCAACTGTTTCGCCCAGCGTAGTCACGTACATTACCATGAACTTAAGAATTCGTGTTGTAAGGGTAGGATGTGAGATAGATCATACATTCTTGCGAAATCAGTGGCGAGCGAGGATCAGAGACATTTCAGGGGTACGGTAGAAGCTTGAAAATCTTACTGCGAAGTTTCTACCCAAGTTCTCAGGACTAACTGATCAACCAGTAAACCTAAAAAGGATAGCGAAAAGGAAAGAGAGAGAGAAGAGATGGTCAGAGTGAATCAGTCAGAGATATCGTCCGTCGCACAAAGTGGACAGCTTGCGAACATCCACTCGAAGTGCTAGCGGGCCGAGCACGGCTGCGGTCTCACCTTGAACAAGGGCAAACAACCCGTAGCCTCACATCTACTCGATACAGCTATCAATTTTCGCCAAATATGAAATATATTCCAAAAATAGCGAGGAGTATAAAAAATTACGCCGCTGTGTATCACGGCGTGGAAAGCTGCGACAATAGAAGTTTTCACTACTTCTTCAGGCAGATCTTCGGCAAAACGACAGTTCTCGGTGATGGTGAGGATGAATCGCTCTGTTCAAAACACCTACCTTGGTGGTCTGAAATTAATCACTCTTCCTTCCACATAAATAGCATAACAAAGAGAATCAATGATCAGGCCATTTTTCACTGATTCTTCGACCCTTGTTCACTTCATTAATCGAATGAGTCCGAGAGGTTCACCACTGGTTCCGACTGGTCATGCGGCCAGCATGCTAGGGCACCGACAGATTGTGCTTCTGAAAGATTAACTAAAGGTATAAGGCACGATGATTTGGTACTCGACGGTCTGAAATGGGGGCACGGGGAGCTATATCGCGGGAAAATGGCGAAAAGCGAAGAGAAACGGCTAAAGCTGTGTGAAAAGCCCTATTCGACACGACTCCGAAGGCAATTTCGGACGAGTTCCCCGTAGGCATCGTGCCAATAATCGCTACGGTAGGTATGGCTGCATGTATGTACTCATATATCCATGCAGCACCGCAGCCGCTTCATACCAATCCCTTCGCTTCATATTGTACTTCGCAAATGAAGCGATACGAGCATCAGCATCGGTCGGACGTGTGTGGGCGGGGGGGGGGAGGCATCTGGATCGGTATGTTTCAGCTTGATAGGGCGCTGTAGTGGTATCTTTCTTGGAAAAGGCGCAAAGCAGCGCCTGCTCAGGGGCGCCGAATTCTGCCTGTTGGCCATATTAATTCCACACGTCTTGGGAATTTATCGTGATCCAAATCCTTCCAAATACTTTGCAAAAACTCTTAGTGGATACAGTCATTAATGTGGTTCGGACTAATTTAAAACAGCAATATTGTCACCTTACACCTCGCCCTGCTCTCAAGCGCTCACGACTTGACTACTAACATCACTATACAACCAAACTTGATAAAGGCTATTAGGTTGGTGCATAAGTTCTTGGCCACGATTTTTTTCGTAAATATCTCAATAGCGAACCAACCTGAAGATTAGAGGTATGCACCATCACCATCCACTACTCGACGCCAGCGCTCAGGCAGCTTGTCGATTCCTTCCTTCCAGAACGACGGGGGCTGGGACTTGAAGAAGTCGTCGAGTGCCTTTCTGACCTGATCCTTTGTTTCGAACTTTTTTCCGTCCAGAGAGCGCTGCAGGTGGCTGAACAGCCAGTAGTCAGAAGGAGCGAGGTCAGGGCTGTAGGGGGGTGGGCGACCATCAGCCATCCGTACTTCTCCAGCTCGGCCTGGGTCGCCTTTGCAGTGTGAGGTCGGGCGTTGTCATGGTGGAAGTATTCGCATTCGATCCACGAGTACGGTCGTGATCTTTCAATTTCCGCAGCTGGGTAACGTATGTGGAAGCGTCAATCGTCTGTCCCTTCTCCAGCAGCTCCCAGTACTCCATGCCTCTTCTGGACCACCAACAGGACAGGAGAACCTTCTTGGGGTGAAGGTCGGCCTTTGGGGTGGCTTCTGGCTGTTCTCCTTTGTCGACCCACTGCCGCTTCCTCACAGGGTTATCGTAGAGGACCCACTTCTCATCTCCAGTGATCATCGAGTTGAGAAAGTGAAACTTCTTTTGTGAATCGTGAAGCAAAACCAGGCAGTGGCGCAGGTACATTCTGTCACAGTGGTAATTGTGCGACATTGTGGCCTGCAAATGCAAGGTGGGTGAGTGATAGCTAGTGTGATAAAAGAGTATAGTGCCCACGTCACGCACACGTGATGACGATATACCAACATCCATGCAAAAGAAGGATCAAACATGGCCAAGAACTTATGCACCAACCTAATATTTCACTTCTCCTGCAATGGGCTCTGCTTTGGAAGTATCCGCCCTTTGGACTTGCACTGGTCCACTAGACCTGGAACTGCACTCACGTGGAACTTGTTTTCGGTTACTGCCCTCATCAGGTACCTACAAGTGGCACTCGCCTAGCTCACCGCTTCCACGTGGGCGCCGGTATTCCCGTGTTATTGAGTGCCGTTAAAGGCAGTTGGCACGATAATTTCATGTACACTTTGAAAAAGAGCAAAGGTGCCCAGTAATGCAAAAATAGTGAAAAAACGGGGCGAAATGGTGGGGAAACCACGAAATGGGGGCTTTATTTCTTCGCTGCACTGCGGCAGTGGACGAGCGAACGGCTGGGGCGGGCGCTGCTTTGGACGAGTCTACCGATTGAACCGTCTACCAATTGAACCGTTGAAACATACGTCCAATGGTAGGCGGGCGGGCGAGGTGGGCGTCCGGGTCGGTATGTTGCTGCTCAATAGGGCGCTATAAGGGTACCCTCCTTGGGAAAGGCGCTACGCAGCGCCTGTTCAGGGTCACGGAATTCTGCCATGCCATTTGTATTAATCTTACACCTCTTTAGGGGATTTATCGTGCCAACTGTCTTTAGTCCCTATGACCCCGCACGTGGCGATCGGGCATCACAGCCAACTGATGCAGGTTGTGTCCCAATTGGCTACTGTTCGGTCAGGGTTAGTACCCTTATTCATGTTCCGTGTGGCTGAGGATGGACCTTAACTGGTGATTTGTGACTTCGCCGAAAGTCATACATGAATCCAGGTCCAACGAGTCTGTCAGTGAAAAGCGCTTCGTTTCCTTAACTTGTAGATTTTTCCACTCATCAGAGTAGCCATGTAATCGCTTGACTCACGAGGTTGACTCCCTGTGTTAACTGTGTCTCCTCTGAGGTCTCTGAGGTCTGTATGTAGTATTCTTGTGAGTGCTACCATTTATATATTTTTGTTTTTCTTTTCTTTCTTTGTTGTTTGCTTACCTGTTTTGACGTTGCTAGGCTCTGCTTATCTGCTTTTATTGAAGCGGGCCAGCTGAGGGCGGTGAATAGATAAATAAATAAAAATACTAAAATGAGGCAGAAGCATTCGCTCGTTGTGGGTTGGCGTTCATAGTGAATGTGTGCTCGATGCACGCGTGGAACTTGTACCTCAGAAAAGTGGGTAATTATCAGGTCAGCAGGCTTACTGCACATTTCTGTTCTTCCTTTCTGGGACGTTGGATTTGACTAAAGACTTGTAAACTGAAAGTTTCCTCTCCAGCTGTCGTTGCTATGAATCCAATTTCCTGGAGAGACGTTGATCTTGGCTCGTCTGAGAAGAACGCATTTTATCTTTCAGCTAACCCACTTACTTTCAGTAAAACTAGCAAAGCCTTGTTTTGTATTGAGGGACGATTTTTCGGCAAATCTCTATGAAGCTCTCACTGCGCTCATGGACACGATTTTTATGAGGGCAGTGGGATGGGTAGGCGCAAGGAGCTACTACATACGCTGCTCATCCTCGAATCAGATCCCGGGCTGGCTGCCACCTGGACCATCTAAGCCATCCATCATTCTTCGGTAGGTAAACTTGCAACAGGATGTTTGGGAGGATAAAAATGGTGACTTGTACGCAGGGTATGTC